ACTTGCCACCCCGCCCGTTGCTTGCCCGTGACAGGGCCACGATCTTCGCTGGCAATTCGGGCCAGCGTTATGCTTCGGATACTAGTAAGGGCTTGGATCACTTGCTGCCGCCGGGTTTGGGTAAGGAGGAGCATATTGCGGAAGCCATGCGTCTCCCTTCCCCCTTTGACCCTAAACCTTGGCCTGAAGCTGACATCGCTTTCTTGTGCGAAACTTTGCGCGTGTGGGGGCCTGACTTGCCTCTCTTGGCGCAGCGCCAGCGTGATGCCTTGAAGGGCATCTCTAAGGCCGTTGCACCACTGCAGAAAGCTTTATCTGAGCTGCTTGGTGGGTCGGCTAAGAAAGTTGCTCCTCAGAAAAACCCTGCTTTCATTGCGGCTGTAACTGCCCTCCTCCGCTGGCCCGACTTAACACAGGCCCAGAGCTTTGTTTTGGGGTTTCCTGTCGTTGGAGATGTCCCATACTCAGGTGTGTTCCGTGCTCTTGCCGGCACTGCAGACGATATGGAGGACCCTGCAGAGTGGCTGCAACGTGAGGGCGCTTCAGTGGTGGATGACCTCTTGACCAAGGGACCTCCCAAGGATCATGACGTTATCCTGAAAGTCACGCTTGAAGAAATCCAGAAAGGCTTTTGCAGTCCGCTCATGTCTCGAGCAGAGGTGGACAAACGCTTTGGGCGGGGCCGATGGAGGCCCCTGGAGCGCTTTGTGATCACCCAGCCGGATGGGAAGCAAAGGGTCATCGACAATGCCCGAAAGACCGGTCATAATGCCCATACCTACATGCTGGAGACCATTCATACTGTCAGTGTGGACTTTGTTGCAAGCTGTGTCCGGGATGTTTTTCGGACCCTCTTCTCAAATTGCTCTGACGCGGTGCCTCCACCCTGCGACTGGATGGCGGTGCGCCTCGGCACGGACGACCTTCCTGATGCCTACAGGGGCACCCAGTCGATGATGACCAACTCCGCTTTAGCGTGGTTTCCATATGGATCCCAGGCTCTGGATGGAACTTCACTATCTTGTGGGGACTGGCATATGGTTTGGAGGCTGCTGTAGTTGCTTTCAACAGGATGCCTCTACTGGGCATCGCAGCCTGCAAGCGCATTCTCTGCTTTCACCGCCGCTTACTTCGATGACGAGCTTTCCCTCGAGTTCATTCGTGATGCCGATGTTTGCCAGGGAGGCCTCCACTTGGTTTTCTCTCTCATGGGCTCGCCTCCTCAGCCTTCTAAGCGCTTCTGGGCTTCAGCTGACAGATGCTACCTTGGCACGTCTGTCCACGTGGGATCCGCAAACTCCTTGGGAGTGCGTGTCCAGCCCAAGATTTCGTCGGTGCAGAAAGTCTGTGCTAAGCTGGATGCGGCTTTGGAATCTGCTTCGTTGTCCCGAGATGAGGCGGGTAAACTTCGAGGTGACCTGCAATGGCTTTTTGCCAGCTGCAACGGCTCTGCGGCTCGGTTTGCTGCGCCGGTGCTACAGCGGTGCCAATATGGCGACAATCCTCGACTGGATCAACGGGATCTACTGGTGCTTCGGGCGCTGCGAGAGATGGCGCAGATGGCTATGCCCCGGGACATCTTCTTTTGGGCGCCACCTCAGCCCTCCACGCTGGTGTATACGGATGCCTCTTTCGAAGCCAACAAGCTGCGTCTCGGGTGGGTTGTCTTTGCACAGCCACCTCTCAAGCCGATTGGTGGTACTTGCGCTGTGCCTCAAGCTGTGCTGGAAGAATGGGTCCCTCGCAAGCAGCAAATCTTCCCGGGG